TTCTTTTGTCCATGGTAGCAACTTGTACAACAACATAGTGTTATCCACTGATTCTCATTCTCATTACTATTTCTTTGCCATTTTACTTGATAATGTTTATTTTAATTATGGGGCATTTATACATGGCTAAAATGTAATTTCCTTGTTTATATAATTAATATTTCACTCCTGCAATGTCCACTTTTTAAGCTTAATATTGTCTATGGTAGTGCATTGTAATTGCTTATTGTTAGCATTATAATAGCTTAACCATTTCTTTGAGAGCATAAAGAGCATCTTAATAAAACAATCCATTTTATATCAAGTTGAGCAAGAGTCCAATACGGTTTCTTTCAAATCCAACATTATTACAATGCAGCAAATACATTTTGCATTTTTGTGGGACATCCTTTCTGCATGGACTATTATTATAGGGAAGTCAAGAATTTGTTGCAACATTTTTTACGTTTGAACAAAAAACCCAGAAAAAAATCAGGCTACAGCAGCTTTTTTGGCCTGACAGCCAAATTCCATTTTGGATAAGTTTTCAGTGGCCACATTCCCATGGGTAGGGTTGAAGGTAAAAGGAGGGGGAGTCAGAGGACAAAACACTGACAGTTTAACCTTTTAGAATGGGGTAAAAACTCTGCCAAAACCTAGAAACCACCAGGCGATCGGTGGCTGCGAGAAAGATGGTGGGGCCAGTGAAGCCGCTATGTGGATGAGCAAACCTGGCCGGAGGTTTTGGAACTGTGCTCGAAATGGTGGGCAAGTGTGAAGGTTCTGGGTTCCTCAATTGGAGTGCGATCTGGGAGCCCATCGGGGTTTCAAGACTCAGTGCAAAATAACAAAAATCACGAAGTATTTCCTACTGCATGGCTATTATTAAGTGGCAGTGCCGAAAGGTATCACTTTCCAAATTTTTAGGCAGAGAAACCATGACATACGAGCCTTCAAAGGTTATGAAGTGATACCTGCCAGTTCAGTATGAATAGCTCGGGCAAATCCTCTTTTACATATGCTATACAATTTCCTCTTAGCAACTTGTTGAATTGCCTAAGCGTTTGTTGACACTTGCATGCTTTGCCAGAGAGCTAGTTGTGATGGCTTTCGCCTTCGACTGGACAGCTCCCAACATTTCTGCACCAAAAAACAGCTCTTCTTGGATTTGACGGTAAGGAATCCTTGAACCACGATTGCAAGGACAACCTTTGCATATCGTAGAAGTGTCCTGGGACACGTCCTCATTGCATGTTGGATGCCAGGCAGCCACCTGAACTCACTCATTCTGTGCAAACTGACAGCAAACCACACAGAGGGTCCAACTCTCTGAAGAGCGTTACCCAGGAATATTGGTGATAGCATGCATGTCATCTTTTAAGTTATTTGTGGCTCACTGCCGATATTTTCACTGGAAAAAAAAAATCCTGCCATGCTTTCAAGGAGCCTCAGGATACCCAGAAGGACAACTGGAAGTGATGCCCTTCAGCGGCACTTGCCACGTTCCTTAAAGCTTGTCCTTATGTTCTGCATTAGCAAGGACCAAATGAGACAGGATGGCAGGAAGCCCATTCATTTCAGCCCGGACCTGCTCCTGTCACACTGCATGGATTTTCAGGTGGGAGCAGAAGGCCTCATTTTTAGGATTAAACAATATATGGGTGAGGTGGGATTACCTAAGGCAGCGGTGAACAAACTGTGGTCCACAGAACCCAAGGGTCCCGCAAAAGCCTCATGGGAGTTCTGTGAAAAATCTCAAAAATCAAATTTAAAATGGATTTTAAAATAAAACCACAAGGCCAACTATTTGACTGTCAGTTGGCGTCCAAGCAGCAAACAAGGAAATGCATCACGTCATTTGGTTCCCAGGACTCTTATTGCGTAGTGTTGCAAATAATCGAAAGAATTCATTTGGGATATTACCATATAATCGCTTTATTCATTCATTATATTTAGAATGTTTTCTCTTAATTTCCAAACCTGCTACATTATGCAAAGCACTCAGGCAACAGGAGCAGATGAAAGAAGGAAGAACGTTGTGGGTTCACAATGCTTAGTAAAAATCAGGGATAGAGTTAGGCTTCCACGGAAAAATAATGTCTTCAGAAAGGATCCACGACCAAAAACGTTTGGGATCCGCTGGCCTGCTGAAGAGCAGATTGTTGTCTGGTCCAAAGACATTTTTATCCTCAGCTGAATTCAGGTACTCAAAGTTTACTCGTTAGGAGAAAAGTGCTGTGTTGTGGGGAAAATCCAACTTCTTTTGCCTACCAAACTCCTTTGATCAAAAAGTGGACCACCCACCCTTTATATGGGATGCTGTCAGCCCCATGTCAATTGATGGGGCCTGCTTGCCATGAAAAGATGGTCGGAGCTTACTTATGCTACACACAAACAGGAGCAACATTACAGCATTCTTCTGAAGACTTCCTGGGGGACTTCAGGAAATCTTCAGGAAACAGTGGGACGGAGGTCGGGGAAAGAGTCAGTGCTTTCCTCAAAGCTGCGCTGAGGGTGGTGTCCATTCCATGGCCAGCTCAGAGCCTGGGTGTGTGTGTGTGTGGATATTGCAAACATCTGGATGTTAAACACTCTTATACCCCCCCTTCACAGCAGCTGTCCACATAACATACCAGAAACCCAGTCAAAATGCCATTCTGAGCTCATTCCGTGAGATGCTACCACAAACGCCAGATGCCAAGTTGAATCAAGACCCATTTGGAACTTCTTTAAAATGATGATTCTGATAACACGTATGTACTTTAAGTGCACGTTTAATTTCTGACCAGTTAAAGAAAATATGAACAACCTGTGTCTAGAACCATGATGTGTATATATATTTGCCTCCATATACATATGTCCACGGAGCCCTTCCCTCCAGCTAAACTTCCCATGTGTTTTCCCCAGTTTAATACAAGAGGAAAGAAGGTTGCTTATCATACATTGGAAGGGTACGTTTCAAAGAGCGAACTACAGTGCTAAGGTCACTGACAAACCATGTCTACATTACAATATATACCCCTGTGTCTGTTTATTCTGCTCTAATACAATTCTGAAATATGTTCTTAGCTCTGTGATAAAAGATCAGGCAAAGCTGAAACTATTATCATTGTTTCTTAAAAAAAATCTTAAAACATTTAGCTGGAAACCTAGATAACTGATGAACTCCGGAGAATCTCTTCCTGCAAGACCGAGGACTTGAGCATCAATTCTTAGCATCTGAGAGTAATCCAAGTTAACGCTGCATTGCCCATGTGGGCCCATGACGCCGCATCCTGTGACAATTAGTAGCATAACTTGTATACCTAAACATCAGCCACATCTACCATTTTTAAATCTGCCTCAAGCCATTCAGCTTAACCAGGGATTGTCGTACATCATTTCTCTTGGAAAAGACATGCTCGCTCTGCATTCACAGCTGCAGCCAAGCCACCACTGGTGTCAAGTGGTAAACGGCAGTCATTGTGGTCTGCGCACGTAAGGGCCATGCGTCGCACCCATAGCTAAAGTATAATGAATAGAGCACAGTGTAAAATCGTAACAGCAGCTTTATACTTACCAGTGATTGTCCAGTGAAGAACCTAGCTCTTCCCCCATTTTCCTCTATTGCATTTTTCCAAAAGGTGTTTTCCATTACTTTTATCATACATTTTATCTTAAAATGTACCGAAACAGAGAGTCCTTTTGTGGGGCGGGATAAGATACAGAGTAAACTCCAGTTGACTCTTCCAATTTCTTAATCAAATGCTGTGCATTTTTGTTTCCTGTCCAGAAATATTATTTGGATAGACTGCCTTCATTCAGTGTTGTGCTTTTACTTTTCTGGGGACAGGAATAAACGCAAGACTTCAGCTGGCTGATGTCCCACGGGTGTTAACTCTCACTTACGGAGTTACTGTAAGAAGTGTCCTGCATGTCCCCAGAGGCCTATGCAAATAGGCCTCACTCTGTGTCTGGCATCATGTTGGTCATCTTTGAAGTTTTTCCTGACTATCAGTGGGAGTGGTCTTCCGCACCCCAGGATTCCTTGCATGTGTCCTGCAGCTCGTAGATCAAGGCTATGGTTTTCCTTCTTTCATTGGGGAACCGTGAAAGAAATCTTAAAGGATGCTCAAGTGAAGAATGAAAAAGCAAATTCCTAAACCTAGAACAGGGTAGGCATGTAAATCACTAATGGCCAGCTCATAGACAATGGAGTTTCCACTGCAGAGAAAAAAATAAAAGTTGAAGAAACATCATGAAGGAACAGTGTTGCCAGATGATCAGTTTGGAATCCTCTTATCACAGCCTCAAAATTCACATCATTATGTTTTTGTTCTGCAGCTGGGAAGGGTTGAAGGAGAGGAGTAGCCCTACCTACTCCAGCTTTAGGAACTCTGATGCCAACGTTGCTCATAAGATTCTCACCCAGTCAAGAGTGACCAAGGAATAGCTTGGGTCCTCCAAGCTCCCCGGTACTACTTCAGTTTGCTTGCATAAGCCAACCCTCTCGGCTGGTTTATTGTCCCAGGGGTGCTGTCAGAAGGAAGCAGGAAACAATTTATCCAGATTAATTAAAAAGAACCTCCTTTTCATATACTCTGCTGCCATTGCGACAGTGTGGATGTAGGCATGAGGAAATACGCGACAACTTCCTCTTCCATTACTTGGGGAAACAACCGGGCTAGAGAGGAAAGAACATGGCTCTCCCAATCTCAGTTTGTTTGAGATGTTAGGAGCCGCTACTAACACGTTCCTTTCCCGAAAATCACTTGATGGCCAGATTACCACTGTACCAAGAAAGCCTAAATGTCTGTTTATTTGTGCATGAGAGTGCGAAGGGAGGAGTCCCCGATTCTCATACATAAATGAGAATTCTCTCTTGTCTGGCAACACTGAAATGGAACATTGTTTATGCTACACAAACATACACACAGACTGTTACTCACACATGAGGACATACACACAAACATACGTCCACAAGCAAGAATGTGTATTTGGATGGAAGAGTCTTGGAAATAGACATTCTTAGCAAATATGGATGACAGATCAATTGTAATTTATTTTCTTTTAACACTGTATCATCATAAAGAAACTGGTATAAATGAAAAAAATCTATTTCAAATATCTACATCTAAAATTTTAGGCAGTGAAAAAGCACTTCGTTGACAAGGAGTGTGGAATGATGAATGTTAATTGTCAGAAATTGCTGAATGCCTTTTTTTTTAGTTGCCACAAACAAATTCACATATCAGAACGAACAATACTGCTAAATATTCCGTTTTGTTTTCTCTTGTTAAAACGCACTGGGGAAAAGAAAAGGAAAAGAAAAAGAAAGAAAAAACGGCCCCTCCCTGCCCCTGGAAAGTCATACATATTTCAAAGTTTTGAAATTGAAGCAATATTTAGAACCATGGATGAAGAAACACTGTGGCATTGGTGTAATATACCCAATGCACCTCTCCTTCTCTTGCTCTCTCTTTTAAATCTGTAATGTACATCAAATACTTTACAACAATGCATTAACAAAAGGCAAGAAACATCTTGCTGTACAGAGGAAACCCCAAATGCAACTTGAAGCCTAGATTCACAATGGATGAGGAGAAGAAACAAAGTGTGAGAAGCTGTCCCCCATACGGTGTGTAAACGGTTCATTTGCTTGTGCTTAACTCTGGACCCACTTCTGCTTCTGAGCCTTCCCCTTCGCCTTCAGCCACATTCAGTGCACAGCGTGACTTGTTTTTCAACTCTGCATACAAGGACAACTGTACAGTCGTCCCCCCAACACAATATCTTTCTATATCTATATATATATAGAGAGAGACAGGATTATATAGATACAGAAACAGATATACATTCCCTCCTTGCCAATGACACTCCGGTGCTTAACTTCCAATTCTTTTAGCCGTCTGAATTTTCCACACTGATTATCAGGGCCTTCCTACGGAACAGGCTTTAACAAACTAAATTTGCAGGAAAAGTATGTCTCGTGGTAGGCATGCACATGCACAGTTCCTGGAGCTTTTTTTGCTTGCCCAAATCTCAAACCCAGGAATCCGGAGACGCTGGATAGTGACTTGTTTCATAATTGAGTTCACTGTAGGGCCGGGCAGCTGAATAGAAGTCGACGTAGTTGCCGGTGGACTTGAGTCCCAGATGCATGGTGTACTCACTTGCAGGTGGGCGATGATGCACTTGGTCCTCAAAGAAGGACTCGTCATAGTTTCTCGTTGAATTCTGGAATGGCTGATATGGTTCGTAATCCTTTCTCGTGGGCTCCTGTGGGACTGGCTGTGCTGAAACCTGGAGAAAGAACAAGAGGCCTCTGTTGGTTAGGTGAGACTGTAACGGTGGGAGACCAGCGGCCACTGAGGGCGCCGAAGGAAGGGTTCCACTGGGATGCTGCTTAGTAGGCTGGCAGTATAAATGCTTCTGTCATTAACCCAGCTCCATAAAATACGGAAGAATCCGCAGATGATGGCAATCCTAGCCTCTGTGCCACACAGTGTCCCAAATCCATCTCTTTGCAAGTAACTCACAAGCTAGCAGGCTTGAATTAACAAGGAACAAGCACAGATGGCAAATTCTGAAATCTGCCTTCTACATCCACAGAATCACCCCAAAAGGAAGCCAAGTTAAAACTCCAGGAGCCAGTTAACAGAAGGGTAATGCACCGGGCCAGAGAGGAGATGGGTGTCCGTGACACATGAGCAGCAGGCATAGTCTGAATAGTATGTTTGAAGCCACCCTTGTCTTCAAAGAACGCCTATTCCAACGAACTCAGGTTGCAAGTTATCAGAAACATCTCTGAGGTTTGCAAGACAACTCCAGTGCCACAGCAAGGCTTCAAGGGAAACAAAGAGCTCAAATCCCAAAGAGGGGAGATCTTTAAGAAATGGAAGCCTGAATGGTGAGGAGGGTCCGGACTGAAGGAGATGTATACGCAATTCACAAACAATCTCTTATGCACTTACCTTGAAGTAAGTCTGAATGAAAACAACGAGATGTATAAAGATCGCAGTATTAATACATTTTACACACGCAAATCATCTACTCCCTCAGCCCTTCAGGACAGAATGCAAGACGGCTGATCTCATCCACCCAATTTGCTGTGGTGTAAACGCACAAGGTGCCATCTAGATCAGGGCCACTGCTCACAAGTAGGGGAGGTACACCTTGCCACCCAGCCAAGACCAGAAAGTGGCTGGGTGGGAAGGCATCCATCTCCCTACCCATATTATGGTGGTCCCACTCTGGATCGGGCCCTGCACATCCACAACACAGCAAAAGGGAGGAAACACTCTATAAAATAGAAGATCATTTCCAATTCACTTACTCAACAGTCAGCTTGGATAATGGGCACAATTCTCTGCACCATCCTGCTGAAGCATTATGCTGAGTTCACTGCCTGCTCTTGCTCATCATTGGCCTGTCCCTTGATATCAGCCCTGTACACTGTACAGTCAACCATTCGTTAGATTCATTGCCCGTTTCTTAAAATATCCCTTGGTGGTCTCGTGCATGCCCGTATTTAGCAACCGTGCAAACTGGGACTCCCCTGTGCCCTGCCTGACGCCTGAAAGGACAGGAGGGAAAGAGCAGGAGGAGACCCTGTGCCTTTTTGAACTTGCATAAAGATACAGCTGAGCACCGTCCACAAATCAGAAGAGAGCCGTGGCACCCCTGCTTCCCGCAGCAATAACAATAATGCAATGGCAGAGCTAGTAACTTTCAGAACATTTCAGTCTGCAGTTGGCTAGGGAGCTTGTGGGTGAGAAACACTGGTGGGCCTCCATCTCTGCACAGACCCTCTGCCTTTGCAACTGGTCACCTTTTATGCTATTAATTCCATAGGGTTTCATAGGGTAGCCATGGCTAATTGAACTCACTGATTTAATTTGGTATGGATCTGACCCATATTCTTTTCAAAATGATGCAATGTGAAAAACACAGGCACTTAAGCATGGGATTCTAGCAAGACTCAGTCATGGTTGCATAAAAAGTGGAAAGCAGGAGTATTATATAACCTGTCTTGAGTTCCCCGCCAGAGGAAAAAAATGATAGAAATGAAATGTAATTGCACTAAAAGGCAAAAGTGGCTAGTTGCCCCATCAGTATGGTAAGCACTTTTCCATCCATCCATCACGCACAAATACACTGATATCAATGTAGCTTTTGTTCTAGTTCAAAAGTTAATTCAATTGTCTTGGCTACATACCTGGTTATGTTTAATATCTTCAGCAGGTGCGCCATAAGAATTTCTGTACAAAGTAGAGATTCCAGTGTTCTGAGCTAAAGGGGAAAGAAAAAGGAATCATGTTACATAACGATAGAATGGCAGCAGTAATGGTGCTGGGCGAAAGGCCGATTCTGTGTTAAAGCAGCAAGCACAATCATGCCTTCATTAGCAATCTCTTGTGTGGCCTCTTTTAGAACAGCGTGTGCAGAATCAAGGCAATTAGATGGTGCTCGAAAAACTTGCTAGGAAAAATGGCCATCCATCTTAGTGTTTAAGAAAATGCTCATTCTGTGGGGACATGATATAGATATATACGATTATGTGACAACAATGTTATGATAGAGATATTCCCCTTCCCCTAATAGCAAAACTTGGGGATTGGTCAAGGAAGTTGTTTGATAGAAGATACAGAATGTTCTCCTAACACATTAATGATATATGAAATCCATGAGGACACTCATTGAATGTTACAGCATACCAAACCACAAACTTTGCAAGTAAGCAAACAACTTCTGATCACAGAAAACTGAGGTTTGAAAAGTTGTGACCACTGAATGCCAAAGTCATGACCATTTCATGTTTGGAACTGGAAACCTGAGAGGGTAGAATCATGCCCCGAGTGTGATCAAGATGGGTGTGCTTCATTCCTCAAATATCTCAGGATATGCTTATGCTAGCTCATGGTACAGCATAGAGGGCAGTTTCCGAGCCTGTCAATTTTCTTGTGGACCCCAACCATGACAAATGCCCATTAAATGTTATTTGTAGCAAAGACGTACTGGATAAAGTGAGTGAAAATGGATAAAGTGAAAGGACACACAGAGTATTCCAATTACAGGTGGTGACAGTGTGATGCCATTCTCAGAGTTAGATTCCTGGGAATACAAACCAATGGCTTTCTGGACCGCTCAAGACAGGTCCACCAGCCAAAGCTCTAGTTTGTGTTTGTTAACAATATTTTTACCCTTCTCTTCAGGCAAAAAGATTGACTTTATCAACTCTGATAGAATCAGGGCTGGAGAAAGCAGGGGTGATCAGAATGCTGTACTGCACTGAAGTGTAGATAACACGGACCTTTAAAAAGGCTTTAGTACAGCAGCAGTAATCAGTGTGCAGGAAGTATCAAATCCGTAAATCCTAATGGATGCCTATGGTTTTTGCACATATTAATCTTGTAATCTGGTTCCACACCATTACTTTCTCAAGCTAGTAGTTCTATAGCAGGGAAATCAATGTTCCCAGCTGTATGTGTTAGATGGAAATCTAAATTGCTCCCCTCCCATTAAAATACCAATACTAAATAGAATGTTGTACTTCTCTGTGAAATTCCTCTGATAGAACTGGTAAAAAATTTAAACTCTTTCCCTATGGCATTTTGTGAACATTGCAAAATTATCATTTCATTGGGTTTTAGCAATACTTATGTAACAGTGTTGCCTTCCCCCATTATAACATGTGGGTGTGCTTATATAATATCTTTTTAAAGAGGCAGATGCTGGAAAGCCAGATCAGTCTACATGGCTTGCCATGGTGCGCTTCATTTTCTTAATTTTTAGAATTTAGTCCAGATTTTGACCACTTTCCCAAGTGTGTGGTGGAAAAAAATCCATACTCAAAATAATGAACATTGAAATTAGCCCTCATTTCATTTTATTTACCTTTTCTAGCACTGAGCAGGGCTCATACTACAAATCCAACTTCAGGGGATTTTGCTGCTTGGAGAATTCCTTAGTATTTTTCATTTCTTTTGATCATGTTGTACATTTGTCTATAAGGTGTATCTGAAAGCAAATCTATGGGATTCATGCCTATCTTGGTTGCTAAAAATCAGAACAGGAGGACTGGGTGTTAGATGGTTTCAATTTAGTCATTGATCAGCTTATTTTATGACAAAATTAATGAACTGTACTTCTGGGGTCATCTACAATTGCTCTTTTCTAAGCAAGTTTGTCGAAGTTCCATTGCTTTCTAAATTCCTGAGCATCTCAGAGGTTGACGTGGATATGACACAGGAGCTCTGGCTTGGATGATTGGTCTTCCGTTATCATTCAAGAGGAATCCTAAGTGAATCTTGTATCTTATTGGTTCCGTTAGGTTTTCCTGGAAACTTTGACACTGTTGAGTTTGAGCGCTTCACGATCAGGCTGTGGAACTCAAGGTGGACCCGAAGTGGTTCTGTGTATTATTTGCAGGGAAGTCACAGAGCGTTGACCTCAAAACTGTCTGTCAGCTTCTTGAGACCTTCCTTTAGAAATCAAGCAGAGTTCCGTCTCACTTTCGGTCATGCCCAGTGTGTTTGAGAGTCCACTTTACCCATATTGGTTAATGTTTTGTCTGGCACAGATACTGCAGTCCTGATACTTCCTTTGTGTCTCTCATGGTGAGGAACTTGATAAATAGGATTAAATGAATATGTCTGGTGAATGCAAGTGACTGTATGTCAAAACACATCATGGACAGTGGTGGAGCCCACCCATCTTCTGGGGTGATTTAAAACAGAACGACAAGGACATACACTCTGTCCCTATAACCCAGATCTCTTCATTTTCCTATGTGGAAATAATGAGTCTTGCTGCAGTCATTCCCTCCCTCCCCACTTCCAGGAAAAATTCTCCAGAGGCAGGAACAGCTGAACATTCAAACTTACCCTTGTGTAGTTGTATTTGATATCTTTATGACTACATCTCTGTCTGTGTGACACATGCATCCAGAGATCTCATAAGTGATTCAACCCAAGTGCAAAATTACCAGTCAAAGGGGATTTTTAAAAAAGCCTCACGAAGCCGAGATTTTATATTACACTTTATTGAAGCATTTTTACATTTGGTTGGGCCCATTGTCTTTTAATGCACATAAACAGAATAATGTTCCTTTCACTTATTCTCCTCTTCAAACGAGGCTCTATTTGATGCAGAAAGAACTTGTCCTGTGCACAGTTCAGGTAACCTGAGAAAGCAAATAAGACTTGTGATCTCTGTTCTCAATCAGAAAACACAGACTATTAAAAATTACATTTTTTAAGTTTGTTGCCTAAACTCATCAGTCATAGAGAGCTGACTACCTGGTAGGACAAGAGAGAAGCTTCTGTTTTCATACTACTGTTCATAGCCAGCAGAGACATAGTAAATGCAGAGGAAACAGAGAAAGAGAGGGAATTTCATGCAAAATAAAGAACAGTATGAAAAACTGCTTAAAAATAGGAAAAAAGGTGTTGTATTAACTTTTTTTTTTGCGCCAGAAATTGCCTAATAAACTTGCTCGCACTGCGACTATTATGAAACAGAAATGCATCCGAGTGAGCTTTTGAGTTGCCAAATGGCTGTGTATGGAGCCACAGAGCATTGTTTAGACTCCACAACCGACGCATGCATTTCAGAAGCAGAGGCTGAGCGATGGCAGAGCAAGGCAGAAATGGCAGCCCAGCCAAGCAAAAAGCCTGCTTCACATGTTTCAGTTTTAGGTGTATTCTTAAGAAGGTTTACACGTGCCCGCCAAAATGTGAAGTGCGAGTGTGACAACAACATGCGTTATTACAGATGCACTTGTCAAGAAGTGGGAACTGGCTGAGTAAGTGCGAAGCAATCCTTGCCTACTGTCAGACACTGAGGAACAACACCAAGCGCAGTACCTTGTCAAAATGTGGAAGCTGTCCTCTTGCTGGTTCTTCACCTATTCTTCAAGATCTTGATGACTCCAATATAATGAGAAGGGATGTGCACTTCTAGCAGGATTGTTGACCTAGTTTTTTTGGTCTTCTATGCTTTGTTTCATCTTCTGGCTCCATGAGCTGAAATCTGGTGAAAATCTTAAGGGAAACCGTAGTACCTGGGTTAGATCTTAAATGCAGCAATACTGCTATTGAGCTGCTCTAAATGACGGCTCTTGAGAAAATTGATTCTTGGTACCATACAGACTCTCTGCAAGAAAAGAACTATGAAACCATCGTGTTATAAACAGTTACTGCTTTTGTAAATATTTGTAAATACCCTTTCGCACCCGCTTCCTCTGTGCCCACCCTTCTCTCTTGCCATGCTTGTGCTTCACAAATTGCTCACCTGGGAACTCCCTACTGCCATACTCTTTAGGAACTTCCCCATGGAACATCTTTGGTGTACCTGTTTCTATCTCTGCCCATACCCAGGTGATGCAGAAATTTGCATCCCCTTTTCCCATGCCCAGAGGTGGTCCTCCTCCCAAGACTTAAGAGGTTTTTGATCTGTCCTATCTTATTTTTGTGGGCTCCATAGCAAACGTATTTGGGAAGAAAGGATGGGAGGAGAGGACAGGTTTTTTAATGACATTGACGAACGAATGGCCCAATGTTAAGATCGGATCTATGCATAACCAGGAAAGGAGATTGTCTCTCTGCTGTTTTCGGGTTGGCGAACATGTAGCACATCTTCTGAAGATAAAATGGAGCTTGTAGTGGGGAAAGGATGGTGGGCCACCAGTGCTTGGCATGCAGCACCCCACAATTTAATTCAGTAACCACCATAGTTTGCTGAGCAATAGTTAGACACTTCAGAATGGGAACAGTGCAAGCCAAGGGGTGCTCGGCCTTGAGAGAAGGGGTCAAGCACCCCCAAGCAGCAGCCAATGCAGGGTGTTAACTGCTGACTTTAGACACCCACAAATGCATGGATTTAAACCATCCCAAAGTACAGGGTCAGTCAGGATTCCCACAGCTCCCAAGTCCCCCTCTGGAGAATCCCAAGGGGGCCCTGCAGCACAGCATGGCGGTCCGGGATTCTGCGAAGCCAGCTGCACCCTTTTCCAGGATACTCCATCCCTGCCTTCCCACCAGGCCATTGGCATTCCAATTCTACTGGGCGTGCTCAGTCCTCACTGAACTCTTTTGGGTCCATCTGCCCTCTCAGGATGAAGACTCACAGAATGTGCTCATAAAATAAGGCAATTTTTCTCACCTGGGTGCAAATCTCCAAGGTAAGTGCAGGACCTGAACGAGAGGCCAAGTCTCCCATTTCTCCTTCTTCGAACCCTCTGTGACCAGGTTTGCGAGAGAATGTTCCCTCCAAAATCCACTCTTCCACTGCCACGTCCTTCTCCAGATAGTGGCAGAGGTGGGGAACATGGGCTGTTCCTCCAAGGGAGGAAGTTGGATAGAGAAAGGCCACCACAATGCACGAACATATCTGTTCCTTCTTGTGCAGCTCAGTATAGACTAGACCTTGCTTGAGAGGAGGGGGCAATTCCTTCCCAAAGGCACACCGCTTTTCGGAAAGGAATACAGACACGCTGGCCACAAAGAGTTGGCAAGAAACACTGGATGCATAATTCAGCTGATTCTGAATGGCTTTGTGGGAAAGAGAAGTATTTAATGAAGCTGTGTCGAAAGAGAACGAATTCATATTCTCTGAAGATAAGCTAGAGGTGTGACAACAGAAAAGGACAGAAACCAAGTATGACTGGCTACAAGAACTGATCTAATCCACAGGGGACCAGTTAGTCCAGTGATGGCGAGGTCTGGCAAGAGCAAGAAATTAGTGTGCCTGCTCATTCAAGATTGTACTGTAAGACCAAAATGGGTAGTGCAAATCATGTTTATAGCCAGTTGTTTGGGAAAAAAGATGTTAAACTAGATAATACTTCTCTTCCCAGTAAAAGAAGGATTAGAATGGAGACTTCTGTCCTATATGAAGCTTTATCACTGAATTAAACAGTATGTTGCAGGAATGAGAAACATTATCTTCTGTGCAGTTCAGCAGTGCTTTATAGCTTCAGCTTCAATACTGATCAGTCACATACAAAATACAAAATGGGAGTTACGGCTGCTTATAAAACTGGAGCTATGAGGAGTTTTTGTGGAAATGTCAGATGTAGCTCCAATGACATTGTAAACATAAGCAATACAAGTATACATCTGCATTTGAAAGGAAAGCTTTAAGATGTTTTGTAAATATTTAAAACCTATACACAGGTTAAGCAAATCCCAAGCTTTGTAAGGTAGCCCATTCAATAGAAGCCTCACCTGTCATTGTGTCTTTCCTAGAAGTGTGCTCTCCTTTACTTCCATGGTAAGTAGCATTTGTTCCAGTTGATTCGTAGTCGGTTTTCCTTTCTTTTAAACTGATCATTTCCCGAGGTGAGGCTGGGGCACTTGCTAGTAAACAAAAACAAATGCAGGTTTTTAAATGCTCGTCACATTAGCACAGGGGGGTGGGAAGACTTCAGGCTCACGGGATCCACTTACAACTAGAAAGAAAGGACTTGAAGCCCGGAAAGTTATCCTGAGTAACAGAGCTGAATGGGACTCACGGTCCTTCTACATAAAACATCCACCCGCTACCACCACCACCTAGTTTTCTTCATTTCAGCAGTACAATCCATTTGCGGGGGTGGTTGGAGAGTCATTTTGCTGGTATCAGAAATCTCTGCTGATCTGATTCTAATCATCCAGAGATCTATAAGGAAATTCCAGCCTGCCTTCTGCCCACCCATGTTAGTATGTACTAACCTGAGAATATGGGACAAGAATATGCATTTGTACACATGTGTGCACACACGATCATTACTTTGACTTCTTGTCCGGACCATCATATACATAAGCAAGAAGCATAACAGATGCACACAGAGAGGCTGAAACCATTCAGCTGAGCTGCACCACCACATGTCATTTGGAAACCCATCGTGTTTGGACAAAGAAAAGCACCTTAATTTAAACTGTGTTGCCGATGGACCTTGGGATTAAAACGTTAAGATCTTCCAAGTCTTCCTAAGCGTTATAGGGCCAAGGAAAACAAGGCAGGCAGGCTGGTCGGCTTTTGCCCCGGTCGGGCATTCAGAAGGGAGTTCAAAGAGAGAAGAGTTCACAGTGAGGGGAGAGCGGAGCTTCCAGAGGTGCTCTCATGGGGGAGCGCTGTACGATTTGTTACTGTGAGAAAATGCACACAGAACTCATCTCTGACCCATTCATGAAGCGCAGTTGGATGAGTCTCACCGATGACTTGTGACCATGGCAGTACTCTATTAGCAGTGCTTTTTTAGCAGTAAAAAAAAAAGGTGCCAGAACTCACATCTTGGGGTCAAACTTTAACACTAAAAAATATTTTCAATTCATCAACTTTTTTTGAAATAAAGAACTTATTTACCTTTTGCACGTAGCCAGTCACTCTACACATACATAAACATAACGGTCGCTGCTGGCAGTAAGCGCTCAGCGCGCGACCACATGACCGATCCCAAGCCGAGCAGCGTCCCAAGCCGAGCAGCGCCCTCACAATCAGTGCCGACACACAAGCAGCCCACAGGCACTATGTTAATGATTTTACAATTCAGAATCACTTGGAAAAATCCGTCAAAAAAGGGTGCCGGAACGCTGTTCCGGTGCGTTCCATGACAAAAAAGCCCTGACTATTAGTATAATTCTCATAAAGGCCTGCACTTGCAAAAGCAGATGGTGGAATGCAATGAACCCAGGACTATCCCGATGCACCCATTTCCTCAGGTACATACACTGTTGTCCTTGGGTTAAGACTCCTGGTAGCATATACTGTACATTGTGTGCTTTTAAAAAAAGCGAGATTGGTTTAAAATTGACATTCTGCCCCATTTGCCAGATGATTCTTAGACAAACACAATGCTGCAAACACTGAAAGTTACTCCCGAAGCGCTGACTTCCTTGTACTCGTTCCTTAGCTGTGCATTTCCGTGCCATTCCGTGTCTTAAGCTAGAGATGGCCAAGTTTTCTGTCCCTAGGAGCCTTCTGCTCCACATTTAAAGTATTTATATGCCGTCCTGTCACGAAAGCCTCAGGACGGCTCACATAGATAAAATACAATAAAATATATCATAGATAAAAATATTGTTCTCAAGCAAAATAGTGCTTGAGAACCAGAACACCCAACCTACTTACTGCAAAATACTAAAGTTATCCACTGGAGAGCCAGTGTGGCATAGTGGATAAGAGCGTGGGACTGGGACTCAGACGATTTGAGTTCGAGTCCCCGCTCAGTCATGGAGCCAACTGGGTGACTTTGGGCCAGTCACAGACTCTCAGCCCGACCTACCTCACAGGGTTGTTGCTGTTGTGGGGATAAGGTGGAGGAGGAGATGTAAGCTGCCTTGAGCCCTTTGTAGGAAAAAGGCAGGATATAAATCGAAAAACAAACAAACAAATTAGCAAGCACAAGGGCTTCACAGACATGAAATGCACATGCCTGGATGGTATGATGGCCAGCAAATGCGGTGTGTGAGACAAATGAACATGTTTCCTGACAGACCCCCTATCCTTCCAGATCATGCACAAGACAAAATAAACATAACTAGCACATGAAATTCACATGGAAATGCATTGCTTCCTTTGAAGGGAAACTATGAGCAACATTTAAGATTAATTGTTTAAGATTAATTGTTTATGTTTAAGATTGTTATTACGTCTGAGCTTAAGCTTAAGACCATCATTAAAATTTGGCAATCAAATTATCTGGCACCAGATCAATTTGGCATCCAGACCTCCAACTGCCAATTTTCCATCTTGGACTTAAGAGATGATCAGTTCATGCAACTGCTTTTCCGTAGCTGAAACTGGCTGGACTTCTAATCCCAGTCAATTTAATTTGCCTAGCTCCATCTTTTCTATACCCACCTCCCACTCTGACTCAAATATTTTGTTTATAACAGTAGGAATGTTGGAGAAATCCACAATGAATTGAATTCATAGTTCTAAGAATCTGACGAACAAATTCTGCAGCACACAGCTTTTTCTGAGTTCCATGGATTCTGTGACCCTGTGGATTATTTTTTGACTTCCTGCGATTGTATGCCAACATTTTTGTTGTTAGGTGCTGTCAAGTCATCTTCAGCTTACAGCGACCCTATGAATTAAACCCCTCCAGAATGTCCCCAGGGTTGGGCAGTCAATCCATGCCCATTTGTTGTACAGAAATGCAACAACACGGGTTCTTCTTCATAGGCTAAACTGTGAAAATGTGGATTTGTGGAGGATTTGCACTTCTTGCGCTCCTTCTCACTCTGGGGAAAATTTACGCGAGTTTGCATTGAAGAAATGTGCACTTGTGCATTAGCGTTAAGGTGAATTAGTGCATGTAGAACGAATTTCTGCTTGGAAAAAATCAGACTCTGCCAATGGAATGATGATGAAATGAAAGGCGCTGGACAATCTGCAAGGTAAAGACGGCGTGGATTTAAACCATCTGCACACCTCACGTAACATCAGCCCTCTAAGCACTAACCCTGGTTGCATCCTCTTCTGGAATGCCTGGAGATTGGTGTGTGCCCAATTCCTTGCGGGGAAAGCACACGTGCAGCCTGGTGCGCCTTCCATGTCAGGAAGCATGGCTTTTGAAAACATTTGCTTGTTCTATGAGGTGGCAGTCCTTCCCCTTGTTGATGAAAACGCCCTTTCTGCCAGTCCTAACTGGATACCCTTTACTCCCAATAGCAAGCATTTCAGCATTCACTGGGGACTGTTCAGAGAGCCTGAAATCAAGCTCTGTGGGGGAAGACACTCAAGGTCTTGTCCTACCACTGGCTCAAATGTAGCCCATACTGGCCTCTCAGAGCTCAAAAAGCAAGTGGCTGGTACTGCTTGGACAAAGGGCTTTTTTGAAATGATGTAAACCTAGGATTTCCCCAGCCATAGGGTCTTGAGCCAAGTATTTTACGAACCCTGTATTTTCTACTTTTTATGTTGTTTTGCCATTTTTTTTTTTGTTTTACAATTTTCTCCCCTTTAAGCATCAAACTCTGCGATGGGGTTTCAGTCACTGCCTGCTCACGTCATGCAAGTTAGCCGCTCAGGCAGTGCTGAGGTTCTTCCCGTAAGAGAAGGTGTTCAAATACACAGAGTAGTCCCATAGGCCAATGCAGACTCAGCCTGGGGGTGGAGAAACCAGGCAGGAAATGCAAAAAGAGTCGCAAGGGCATTCGTGGCGCCTGCTGCACTGTGGGGAACGCCCCCAGTGCCCCCCAGTCAAGGGCCATGCTGCCTTTAACCGCCACATCTACTCACTTGTGAAGGGCAGCCTGTGAACTCGCTGCGAGGGGACATGCCCCAGACGCCCTTCACCTTGCAGCGCATGCGCCACACACCCCGTGCCTTCAGCCCCAGGGGTCACTCCTCAGAGCAGATGACTCTCCAGTGCGCTGCAGAAGCACAACACACACACAGGAGCGTGCGACTCTCGCCACGCTTTCTTGCACAAAGACTTCCTGGGACGAGGGTCCGAGATCCACTCAAGACTGGCCACCTTTTTACAAGGAGCTGCGGAGAGCAGCCAGGACAAGTGGTGAGACCTCCAAGGGGTCTCCTGACAGGGTGCAAGGAAGGCAAGGAAGATGCAGAGGAGTTTTGGCCCACTGAGAGAAGGATGGAAATGCCTCTCCTCACCTTTTGCACCTTTTGCATATTTAACAAACCACAGAGGAGTCCTGGGACTCCGATTCACAGCTCCGATGCTTCAGTGGATGCAGTGGGCCGGCTTCCTCCCTGCCCTCCGTCTCCCAGGAAGCTGCAGGGGGAACCTTGACCTGCTTGCTCAGCTCAGCTTGCACCTGCCGGTCTGAAGGCCGGGCACAGCCCCACACTGCAAAAGGTGAGGGCCACACTCAGGCACAGCTGAGTCCGCCCTCGGTGCTTCCGTGCCCCACTGGGCGCCCCCTGCCCTTCTCCTCTGCCTCAGCCCTTGCAAAGGAGCCCCACCACCCCCTTCCGGCATGTTTGGATGGCTCTGCCAGGGAGTGCCCCCACAACCTGAAGGCCACTGCCCTGCTCATCCCACACCCCACATCTGCATTGCACACGCCTGCCCGCCGCCCCTTTGCGGCCTGGGCAGGGGCAGGAGACGCTGCTGGCCCTGCCCTGCTGGTTTCTGCTCGGCCCCATCCAGGGACTGGCTGAAGGCCGGTCATGCCGGGGTGCAGCAGAGGGGTCCCCTCCCCCCCCCTAACTGGCAACGAAGGAGCAACGCACGTGGCCATGGCAAGGTCTTTATTGAGCAGTGCCCGAGGGAGAGCAGATCCTGAAAGGAAGGACATGGGCGCAGTTGCCAAGCAGTCTCCGGGCAGCGGGAGTGCAGGCTCTTCGGGCCAGTGGCTCGTGCTGCCCTCGCCTGTCTGTCCTGGGCATGCAAAGTTGCGGG